AGGTAATGTTTGTTTTTCTGGTGTTGTCTTCTTTCTCCTTTGTTAGATTTTTTTTACCAAAAAGTACAAACATTGTCAATCAAAACTGTATTTACTCTTTTTCAGGATCAATTTTAGGGAATTTCGTTTTGCCCAAACGATGATTTTTGCCATCCAGGAGATTAACAATAGCAGCTCTCTGCTGCCTAATATCTCGATTGGTTATAAGGTATATGACAGCTGTGGTTCAACATTGCCTTCGATGCGTGCAGTGATGGGTCTGATGAATGGGCAGGAAAGGACTTTGGATAAAACTTGCTCAGGGCAGTCATCCGTTCATGCCATCATCGGGGCCTCTGAGTCCTCCTCAACCATTGCGATGCTACAAATATCAGGGGTTTTCAAAATTCCGGTGGTAATTATTTGTCAGCAACTGTCTTTTAATTTTTGAGTGATTTCACCCTGTTCCTTTTGCAATAGGCTTATAATAATATGAATGTGTTATAACACACCCCCAACCAAGTCAGATAGTTAGTCTAACAATATTTTGGCAATGTTTTTTTATACTCAAAATGTCATCAATGGTGTGTTTTGTTTCCCTGCTTTTCTCCTTTATCAGATCAGCCACTTTGCGACTTGTGCATGTCTGAGTAACAGAAAGGAATATCCCTCCTTCTTCAGAACCATTCCTAGTGATTACTATCAGAGCAGAGCCATAGCAAAACTGGTAAAACACTTTGGCTGGACATGGGTTGGGGTGGTTAGAAGTGACAATGACTATGGCAACAATGGCATGGAAACATTCATCGCAGCCGCAAGCCATGAAGGGGTCTGTGTTGAGTACTCGGAAGCCATCTCAAGGACTGATCCCAGTTGGCGGGTTGAAAGGGCGGTCAGAGCGATCCACGACGGCACCGCAAGGGTCTTGGTTGCCTTCCTCGCCCAGGGCGAGATGGACATTCTGCTGGAGGAAGCTCTGAGGCAGAATTTGACCGGGCTGCAGTGGGTGGGCAGCGAGTCCTGGATTACGGCGGGTCACCTGGCCATTGAGAGGTACTCGGGAATCCTAACAGGGTCTCTGGGCTTCGCCATCAGAAAAACACTAATCACAGGCCTGCAAGAGTTTCTTTTGAAGGTCAACCCAAGTCAAAACCCACAAAGTGATCTGCTGAGAGAGTTCTGGGAAGCCATAATTGGTTGCAGTTTCAAATCCAAATTTTATGTTCAGAAGCAGTGCTCTGGCTCTGAGAGACTGGAGGACAACAGCAATCCTTTCACAGATGTCTCACAGCTACGGATATCTAACAATGTGTATAAAGCGGTTTATGCTGTAGCTCATGCCATGCATAACATGTTACGCTGTGGACCAAATGTAGCGGTGTCTCAGTCATGTAAATGGACAGATAATTTACAGATGGAACAGGTAAACAGTGAGCTTTAAGTGTTATCTAAATAATTAAAAATTATAAACAATTCACTTATATATAAGTTATTCAAGCTTATTCTCTTTTGGTAGGTTGTGAAACAACTCCAAGATGTGAATTTCACTCTTCCGTCAGGTGAAAGAGTAAATTTTGATGTAAATGGGGATCCTACAGCTATTTATGAGCTAGTGAACTGGCAAAGAAACCAAGCAGGAGATATCAAGTTTGTGGCAGTAGGGAGCTACGAGGCCTCGATACCAAATGGAGAACAGCTCATCATGAATGAACAAAGCACAACATGGGCTTCTGAATCCCCGAAGGTATCAAATTCTATTTTATTTTGATGGTTATTTTTAAATCAATTTTCCCTGAGCCATTTCCATTTTGAAAACTATTTAGTAGGTAAAAGGTAATTGGCATTGTGGACAAATCATATATATGATTTAAAAAACACATTGATAACGATATACATTTTGCAATTCTACAGGCAAAGTTCCAATGATCTTCTGATGTAGATTGATGTGATCTTAAACTGGAGTCCCTAAAAAATAACCTAACTTTGATTAAATTAAAACAAATTATATGTTTTTTAGATTTACAAGGGCAACAAACTGGGACATTGATGAGTGTTGCTGGTGTTGTTACAGATGCCACACTCTGTCTGCAGTGAGAGTTGTCTGCCAGGTTTCCGGCAGGCTGTGATTCAAGACAAACCCATCTGCTGTTTTTCCTGCATCGCCTGCGCTGCTGGAGAGATCAGCAACTCCAGCAGTGAGTAAAATCTTTCCTATCTGTAACTAATTGTTTAACATCCGTACTAAACCAATGTTCCCCAGTTTCTTATAAGTGAGTACGAACGGCACGTGCTTCTTTTAAAATGGGATGTGCTCTCAAAATGATGAGCATTTGTTCACTCACTGAGCATTTCTATAAGCGTAGCCGTCCAATCAGGACATGCATAACCCAATACAATCAAACTTCACAATATATAAGGCAGCACACCTCGGTGGTGAATCCATACGCTCAATTCAGAAAACAGCAGTAGTCGTACTTAAAACTATTGTTAACATTTTGAAACATTTGACTTAACTCAAACAAGCTCCTCCCTCTACTTGACCCATGAACACAGTGCGTTGAGCAGCTTGAATGTGAACTGTGGGTATGACATCGACCCCAACACATTGACCCGTAAGGATAAGAGATTAGACACCACAGCTTATTTATTTTGTTACAACCCAGGCCACCAAGGAAAATAAGTATGCGGCTACAGCCAACCCATTTAGTACTACTTAGTATTGAGCTGGCTACAACCCTGGTCTAACCCTGCATGGGGAGGGCTTTTCTGTCCACACAATCCCAAAGGCACACAAAGAGCTGGTGCTTAATGGGGCACTTCCATCAATGCATTGGGGCAATGCATTGATGGAATGGCATTCAGCTGTATCTTCGCCTGAAATAACTTCTTACGTTCTTGAGAACCAAGGAGGGGTTTTGGTATGGGTGAACCTCGCCACTGTCACAACAAAGCAACAAGGAACTGGGGTGCACTGAAGGGGGGATAGTTCATATATTCTCCCAGTTGAGGTCAGTGCAAGCAGCAAAGCTGTCTAAATTGGCAACGCCATAAGAGAGAAGTGTTCACAAGGCTCAAAAGGACCTTTATCAAGTCCTCGAGAACCAATGGGAGTGTACTGTAGAGAGGATGCATGCTTTGGGACTATTGAAACACGACGATGATGAATAGAAGAGCTTCATGCCTCAGTAGCTCAGCAGATGAAGCATTGTGTACACACAGCTACTGAAGATGCACGGCAACCAGATCTTGGCTGGACGACATTCAGTGTACTTGTATAGTATAGTATAGTATATGTATAGTCTGTCCCCTGGAAGGTAGAGCTAAGAACATCCTGTGTTTTTAAGCTTCTGCTAACTAAAAGGATGCACATGTAGGTCAGTAGTGGAAAATCAATTGCATAGCTGAAACACTTCCACCATGGGCCAGCTTAAAATGCAGCAGCAGACATGGGCACTAGATTCATGCCTCCATTTTCACCGTCGAGACTAGTGAGGAGAATGACGATCTGGAGGTGATGTCCAAGAAGACATTACAGGCAGCCCAGTTTCTGTGCCCGAAGCTGGACCCTTCTATGTTCAGATGTTGGAAGCTTGTGTGCAAGACATCCATGACATATGGCTTCACAGGGAAAGCCGTAATTTGCTGAAGTATAGCTTGCATTTCATACTGAAGATGGAAAACCCTTTTTGCTGGAGAGTTAGCAAAGAGTGCAAGGGGAGTGTGCATTTGAGTTCAAACCTGCATCTTACAACATTAGCACATTTTAGTGTTTCATGTTTTTCTATTCAGATCCGGCAGAGTGTTCCCGCTGTCCACTGGAGTTCTGGTCAAATGAAGATCACAGCCAGTGTGTTCCGAAGGTCATCGAGTTTCTATCTTTTGTAGAAACCATGGGCGCCCTTCTCACCGCTTTCTCATTGCTTGGAGCAAGTTCAACACTACTGGTGTTGTGTGTCTTTTTTCGGTTTCATCACACACCTCTTGTTAAAGCTAGTAACTCTGAGCTGAGCTTCCTGCTGCTCTTCTCCTTGACTCTGTGTTTCCTGTGTCCTCTGACTTTCATAGGCCGCCCCACTGAGTGGTCCTGCATGCTGCGACACACAGCTTTTGGCATCACCTTTGCATTGTGTATATCTTGTATCTTGGCTAAAACTTTAGCAGTGGTAATTGCCTTCAAGGCCAAAAGTCCAGCAAACACACTTATGCAGTGTTCTGCTCCACTGCAGAAAATAACTGTTCTCAGCTGTACTTTACTTCAGGTGTTAGTTTGTGTGCTGTGGTTACTTCTTGCTCCACCTTTCCCTTTCAAGAATACAGCTCATGCCACTGAAAGGATAATTCTACAGTGTAATTTAGGTTCACCTATAGGGTTCTGGGCCATGCTGGGGTACGTAGGACTCCTGGCTATGCTGTGCTTTATCCTTGCTTTTCTGGCTCGGAAGGTGCCAGATAATTTCAATGAAGCGAAGTTCATTACCTTCAGCATGTTAATTTTCTGTGCAGTCTGGCTAACTTTTATTCCAGCGTATGTCAGTTCTCCCGGGAAGTTCACTGTAGCTGTAGAGATATTTGCTATGCTCGGCTCTAGCTTTGGGTTGTTGTGTTGTATATTTGCTCCAAAATGTTATATTTTATTGCTTAAACCAGAAAGAAATACTAAAAAACATATGATGGGGAGAAACCAGTGAAAATCTCCATGGACGAGTGAACAGAATAAAAAGACCAGAAAAATCTGAATTGCTATTTTATTCTTAATTTAATAAAGGCTTTTTGTTAAATATGATCACGCATGACACAAGCCTATTTGGCTGCTTTTGCAGTTTTTTAAATGCATTAAACAAGTGCGATACCATCACCAAAGCCTACTATTCTATATTGAATATTCTCAGCTGTAGTGAATGAAATGCCTGGAAAATAAAAGTAATAATAAATCTTGACATCAAGTGTGTCACCAGAGTCCAAAATTAAATAAATTGAAAGAAATTAAAAAGTTAACCCACAGGAACTCAGATGGTGGCTCATATCCGCGTGTGCTGGTTCCTGAAATAATTATTGCGAGTCATTATTGGTTATGCTAAAAGCAATGACGGGATACGTGGCAGTCCCTCTAATAGGCCCATCCAACTTTCCATCGTAGCAAAAGCACAGCCATTGGTGGACAGAAACATGATATTCACATAGGTTGCAGCCCTGTGGCTTTTAGATAGTCATAAATAAAAACCCTATAAAAGGCTGAGAGTTGAAGGATTGACGCTCTTGGCTTTGTGTTGTAAATATTGAGGTGAGCTACAATGCTGCTGACGGCGGACCTACTACTTATTTACCTTCTGGCAGTCAGTGGAGGGAAGCCTGTGTGTCAAACATACGGGACAAAAGAACAGTCTAAATTTTCTATGGAAGGAGACATCAACATTGGAGGCATTTTCTCCTTCCATCAGAATCCTGTCATTGTCAATCCAGCTCATCAGGTCAACCCAGGAACCATCCAGTGTGAAGGGTAAGAGGGATGGAAAGAATGTACCTGCATATCTAAGTACAACATGTGATGATTATTCATGTTTTATGTGAAAGTCAGTGTGTGTTTCACATCTTTGCTGTAGACTGGACGCAGGAGAGCTTCAATATGCCTTCACTATGATATTTGCCATAAGGGAGATCAACAACAGCTCAGATCTGCTGCCAGGAGTGACACTGGGTTACCGGATCTTTGACTCCTGCCCGAGTGTCCCTGTGTCCATCAGGGCATCACTGAACCTGATGAATAGGTATGAGAGTGGGGAAGGCAGTTGCAGCAAACTCTCAAACGTGCATGCTGTCATAGGAGAAACCACATCAACTTCGACAATAGGTATTGCCCGCACCCTGGGCCCCTTCAATATACCCGTGGTGAGTGTTAGGGGGGTGTTGGAAGTATTTTTTTGTTGTAGTAATAGTTAGATAATATGTGAAAATGTTCCTATGACATATTCCTCTGATTATCTTAATATTAGCCATTTCTCTGTTTGTGTTTCAGATCAGCCATTCAGCCACGTGTGCATGTCTTAGCAACAGAAGAGACTATCCCTCTTTCTTCAGAACCATACCTAGTGACATCCACCAGAGCAAAGCCCTAGCAAAGCTTATGAAACACTTTGGCTGGACCTGGGTAGGGGCTATCAGAACCAACAGTGACTATGGGAATGGTGGCATGGCCACTTTCCTGCAAGCAGCAGAAAGGGAAGGTGTGTGTGTTGAGTACTCACTGGCTATTTACAGGACTGATCCTAGGAAGTGGTTCCTAAAAGTGGTGGACATTATTAAGGAATCCACCTCTAAGGTAATAGTGGCATTTGCTGATGGCACAGACCTTGACATTCTGATTAAAGAGCTTCATGCTCAGAATGTGACAGGCCTCCAGTGGGTGGGCAGTGAGGGTTGGATCACTTACCGCTATATTGCCTCTCCAGTGAACTATGCTGTGGTACAGGGGGCGGTGGGCTTTTCAGCATTAAATGCTCACATCCCCGGACTGCAGGAGTTCCTCGCAGACAGCAAACCGTCCACTACAAAGGGAGACCACGGACTGGTGGAGTTGTGGGAAACGGTGTTCGGCTGCACACTGACTCCCCAAGAAGCGACCCGAGATCAGGGCTCGGTCGCCGGCTGCACTGGCGAGGAGTCTCTGTGGGACACAGACACACGCTTTACAGATGTGGCAGATGCAAGTTTGCTGAACAACGTTTACAAGGCCACGTACGCTGTCGCTCAAGCTTTGCACATGTTGTTTACCTGCAAAGACGGACAGGGGCCTTTTGAGAACAACACTTGTGCTGATTGGGAAAGTGCCCAACCATGGCAGGTAAACATAAACAATAAATAATAAAATAATTCTGCACCAAATTCAAACTACTGTATATGTTAGTCATCATGTAGATTAATAGCAACCTCTCTGTATCTGTATCGCTGCAGGTTCTGCATTACCTAACGCTGGTCAATTTCACCACTAAAATTGGTGAAAGGGTCTTCTTTGATGAGTTGGGCGACCCTGTGGCAAGTTATGCACTGGTAAACTGGCAGATGGATGAGACAAATGGCATCGTCTTTAAAACCATTGGGTTTTATGATGCCTCACAGCCTGAGGGGCGGCAGTTTAAGATGAAAACAGATGTGGGACCTATCTGGGCAGGTGGGAAACTTGAAGTAAGTAAATACCGCAAGCCTTATTCTGGGTTGTGAAGTCATCTTTAACTAATACAATTAACTAATAATAACTAATCATTTTCTATACAGGTACCAAGGTCTGTTTGCAGTGAGAGTTGTTTACCGGGCACCCGCCGGGCGTTTGTCAAGGGCAAGCCTATCTGCTGCTTCGATTGCATCACCTGTGCTGACGGGGAGTTCAGCAACACTACAAGTGAGACGGCAGGATTCCTAGCCTTTAGTGTAGCACTCGTCGTGTTTCTATTGGGTAAAATCCCTGCGAGCACTTTACTGGTCTATCTGAGAATGTATGTTCTGTACAGCCTAAAAATATTTATGCTTACAGATGCAGTGAAATGTGACAAATGCCTCCCCGAGTACAAGTCCAGCAAGGAGAGGAATAACTGTCACTTGAAATTGATTGAGTTCATCACCTACAGGGAATTGATGGGTATACTGTTGGTCACCTTTTCTGTCATTGGTGCCTGGCTGACAATGACTGTAGCCCTGATATTTTTTCACTACAGACACACTCCTATCGTCAGGGCCAACAACTCTGAGCTGAGCTTTCTGCTGCTCTTCTCCTTGACTCTGTGTTTCCTGTGTTCTCTGACCTTCATAGGACGGCCCACACAGTGGTCCTGCATGCTGCGACACACAGCATTCGGCATCACTTTTGTCCTCTGTATCTCTTGTGTTCTGGGGAAAACTCTAGTGGTGTTAATGGCCTTCAGGGCCACACTGCCAGGGAGTAACGTGATGAAATGGTTTGGGCCTGCACAGCAGAGACTCAGTGTTTTGTGTTTAACTTTCATTCAGGTTGTAATTTGTATTCTTTGGCTGACGATCAACCCTCCTTTCCCCTACAAAAACATGAACTACTATAAAGGAAAGATTATTCTTGAGTGTGCATTGGGATCCCCTGTGGCGTTCTGGGCTGTGTTAGGATACATTGGGCTTTTAGCCATGTTGTGTTTTGTTCTTGCTTTTTTGGCTAGAAAGTTACCTGATAATTTCAATGAAGCGAAATTCATCACCTTCAGCATGTTGATATTCTGGGCAGTCTGGATTGCATTCATCCCAGCGTATGTCAGCTCTCCGGGGAAGTTCACAGTGGCTGTGGAGATATTTGCTATTCTGGCTTCAAGTTATGGGATGCTGTTTTGTGTATTTTTGCCGAAGTGCTATATCATTTTATTAAAGCCTGAGAACAATACAAAGACGAATTTGTTGAATAGAGCGACCCGAATAGCCTTTTGATTTATATGTTAAATCTTAGCTGGAGATTTACTTTTTTTCCTGCCACTAATTCTTTTTACTATTATACTGTTATACTCATACTATACTAACTTATTAACTCCCTAATTTAAATGAAAATCAATGTATGGATACCCAAAAATATACTTTGATGGTGTACAAAAAAAATTAATAATAAAAAATGTGTCAATGTGACAATGGTCTATCAAGTAATGTGCTCAGAAAATAATAATTTAATTTTGCAACCTTTTCAACTGTTAACTGTACCGTAAATGTGTTCCAAAAATAAAGATTGAACCTCCATGTTCAACTTGTAAATGAACATCAATAATCTAAACAAATAATTGTGTATCTCATAACAAAAAATAAACAAAGATGATGCTATGATATGTGTAGTCTTTTATTTGTTGTTTGTGATCAGATATATGACACTTTATAGTAGTTTACATGACAGTAAATATTGCACACCCAGTAAACTACATAAAACATCCCTTAATGCAGAAACAGTTTAGAATAACTTCCTGATTAAATGTAAACATGTCATTCAGGAAAAACCACATATCTCACATTAAAGAACTAGGTCTACCATAATACTTTATCACAATATCTGTAATGTCCAACAGATGGAACTCAAAAACAGACTGAATTCATACATACAAAATATAACAGCAGCATGCTAACAAAAGCATATTACAGAAGTGTGCTGAAGGTTTATCTAAATCTAGTGAAGTACCCTTGAGGCTCATCATCTTGCAGCTTAAGCTGCTTTAATTCAATATAAAATCTATAATTCAATCATGAATATATACATATATTGCTTACTGTGTGTATGTACAGTGATCAGATATGGTCATAATATATGTTGAATATGGATAAAACCATATTCCATTTTTAGATATTTGTGTATCCAGGCGATAATCATCCTTATCAATAAATTAATTTTGGGCACAAATACTTTTTATTTCTGGCCATGTGACATTGTTATTTTTCATTGTTGATGATAGGCCTCGTTGGTCTTAAACCAAAGTAAAAAGTTGTTTGAGTGTTTTCCAACTGATTGTGAAACTTGTTCAACCCCTCCAGACGGTATGTCTTTTGGGTTGTGATTAAAATACATGTGGGGAAGTGCAAGTGCCTCAGGCCTGACTGATAACTGATAACTTTTCCACTCACAAGCGCGCTAATAAACTAATAAAAAAAATAACAATCTCCCCAAGGAGTTATAGTTTCTCCCGTCACACAACAGTTTCATCAGTGCTGTTGCATCATGATTCCCTTAAGAAGTCTACTGCAGAACTTGAGCCCTTTGTCTGTCAACACGTTTGGAACATTTGACCTTGGCTTGAAACTTCAACAGTGAATACAATAAATAAGGACATAACATTGAAGTGTAAATGCTTTGGATCTTCTAAATGTTGAAAAGTGAATGAATTCTTAATGTGTCAATGCGATCTATCTATCTATCTATCTATCTATCTATCTATCTATCTATCTATCTATCTATCTATCTATCTATCTATCTATCTATCTATCTATCTATCTATCTATTTATCGAATTACGTCAAGCTTGCTTAAACCCACTGAAAAAAGGAACAACATTTCAAATTTCTCATGTAAACAAATTTTTGTTGCCACAATGTGATTAATAAAAGTACACACACAAACCACCATGGGCTCAGGCTTTGCTTTGAGAAGTAAGGAGCAACGTGATAGCATGGAAAATGTTGCCATCTGGTGGTTACATTGTGCAGTTCTGAAACCCTGAAACAATGTTAGATATTGTTATTGTTATTATTAGTGGTAGTAGAAGTAGTAGTATTAGTAGCGGTTGTAATAGCGATAGTTGGAGTACTAGTATAACCAGGAAAAATAAAGAAAGGTTTAAAAGCACTTCACATCAAATAAACCAGATGTGTTTGTGGTCCCGGTGCTGACACAGTGAATACATTACTTGCTGTTACCAAGCTGAGAGACGGAGCAGGCCATTAAATGACTAATTCCTCTAAAATGTTACATCGAATTGTTGCTTAGCCACTACATTATAATTTAAACAATCATTTCATTTAAGAATCAAGAAAACCATGTTTGTTTGTTGTTTCCTGATTGCTTCAACATAATATATTTGTCAAATTGAGCCATAAATATTCCATCCTCTCCAAAATTAAACTAGTTTGTGTAGCTGGAAGTAAATAATTAATCTGTCCTAGTCTCGCCGATTAAACCGCGTGTTTTGAAGCAATTAAAACTTTTAATTAATTCATTTCCAACAGACCAGCTGGTGAGCTCTTGTTTGACGGCCTGGGGAGCCGATGTCATCAGTCTTGTTGGAAACAGTTGCTTGTCTTTGCTTGCCCTGTTGGCCCTCGGCTCCCCCACAATCCCCCAGAGTAAAAGGTAAATTGGCAGGTTCAGGACGACACCATGAGACCATATTCACAATATACACAATAACAAGCTTGTTTCCCAGATGTGTTACAATTCATTGTTTTGTTTCATTTAGTTTTTTATCTACACTTTGATAAAAAACTATATGATACAAGTGTGCTTTATAACTATTTATTTTAGCGGATATCTTTTAAACCCGACTTTTATTTTGATATCTCTACCTCTACCTCTACCTAAAACTGAATTAATGATCGCCTCAATTTGCCATTCACGCTGCGATTACATGTTAAGCAAGCTTTTTTGGAGGAAAAGGGGATCTCTTGTAAGTGCTACAATGTGTGACAGTCAGTTTATAAAATATACCAATATTATGGTACTGGTTCTGACCGGGTTCTGGCTTGTTTGGGCCCCAATTGGGATGTGCTAGTCTCCAAGGCTGAAGGTGCAGGGATTTGACAGTTACAATAAAAGCTTGATTCTGCATTTTGAAACAGGGCTTGTCTCAAATATAGAGTATATTTGAATCCTGAAACAGTGAAAGTGATAATAGTTGACAATAAATACACCAAAGTTTCTTGATGGAGATTATTTAAACAAGATTTTCATGTCCTGACACAATTTAGTGAAACCTTGAAGCAGCTACATGAGACTCAATGAATTGTAATAGTAGAAGAGTAGAAATGTAATCCTATTTAAAGTCTGTTTTTATAGACATTAACCTTTTAACTATTTAACTATTGTCGACTGTGGGAGTTCATTCAATCAAACGTTCAGAAATGTCATTGTGTCCTTGATCAATACAATACGCAACAGGATGTAAGTATTGCGTTAAGTATTCGTGAAAGAAAGAGGGCACCTTGCATGTTGGCCACTTGGTTTGGGTAGTTGGAAGACTGGAAGATATTTCAGAGTTAAAGTTACATCTGTTCACATTCCTACTCTGCATACGTCTCCCTTCCCTCTGGCTTCTCAGAGTTGACTAGTTCACCCAGAGATGAAATCAATCCTACCACTCAATGATGTCACACTACCTTCTTCATCAGAAAACAAATCAAAAAACAAACTTGTCAGAAAGAACATATATCTACATGATAAAAACTACCTAACATCTTTCCACTCAGAAGGGGCAGAGGTGAGGTTTCTGCCCGATGGTTTTGGTATTGCTGGAACACCTGAACCGGTGTGAGCAATGCACAGGTCTTGGATCTCGAGACCCCTTGAATGAAATTTCCGTGGTCTAAATATAATCAATAAATCATGTATATATATGTATATATATGTATATTTATATATATATATATATATATATATATAATAAATATAATTCAAGTTTTACTAAAATGCCATTCAAATGTATTTTGGCTCCTTACAAATAGCCATAAATGTTCTTCATTCAAACTTCAAAACATGTATCTCGTTGTGATCTCTGGTTGGGTCTTCTCCTTGGTTGGATTGGTTCGGTTTTGGTATTTGGTCTGCTTCAGGGATCTTAGGTTTTACTGATTTGCGCTGGCGGGAGCTGCAGCGGTTCATTGCCACCTGGTGGTTGTAGCGGAGCACGCACACCGACAAGCCCTACATCATTCCATTCCCTTTTACCACACAGACCAGTGAAAATCCCCTAAAGCACAGCGGGGCCATTCATTATTTTTAATGGATATGCCTTCATGGCATGGGGCTCTTTTGTTATACATGCATACTCATTGGGATTAATGGTGTTCACTCTGTTTTTAAACATTCTGTGAAGAGAGTTATCTTATTTCCCATTTATATTATTACTGGTGTTCTTAAGTGTCAACTACATTTACAGTCCAAATATTAGGAAAATACATTCAGCTGCATTGTTGTACTTGTTTATAAAAGAAACATTCCCCCTTGAAATTAAGATTATTCACTATTTCATTTTATTGAGTTTCATTTGACTCCGTAATGGTATTATAAATAGAGTTGTGAAAAATGGCCACATATTCAAGATCAGAGACATTTTGTGACTTAGTGTCTTGCTCAAAGCAACACAGCAACTTGAAGAGGCATCAGGTTTCTCTTGTTGACTATTTGCATCTTTTTGTTCTTCTTTTTTTAATCATCTGTATTCCAAGACGTTTAAGGACTTAAACATCCTGTGATCAGGGGTTTTAATTACCTTGAATACCCCTGTGAGGACAGCTGATTTCAATTGCAGTGCCCCTGTTGTTCAGTTCTAATCAGCTTGTTTGCAGAAACAATGAAGCTGATCCCTTTCCCTTGAGAGCATAAAGCCTAAGTCTAAAATCTTACTTACAAGAAAAGGAAACAAGTGTATCATAATACTGAGCATTTTGTCTCTGTCCATCCTCCCAGCATCACACAGGGACATATTAAATAAATAATCAAACGTAAAATTATTTGACCTGAGGCAGCATGTAAAATGGTCTTTGATACACACTAAGTGCTGCTCTGTTTTTGAGCCTGCAGGGTTTGTTCTCTTAATGACAATAATGACTTTCCCTGTGGATATTTGTAAAGCAAGAAGAAAAAAATAAGTAATAATATGTTACATTACTACTACTAAATGTCTATTAATTAAACCGTATAGTAAAAACACTTATATCTTTCTTTCTATCAGAATGAAACACTTCATTTTGATATTACTTTGAAGTTTTCCTCTCAATAGGTTTGCTGTGTATCAAATTTGTGTCTGTGCATTTGTGTTTGAAAGGCATGCAACTCAGATCAGCAGCCCCTTGTGACACCAGTCTGCCATCTGCCTTCTCACATCATTGAAGGATGAGTTAGGCCTATTCGGGCGTGCTGTCGTTGCATGACACAGCTCGTGTCTTTCTCCATCATGGTCAAGTGCTCATTCCAGATCCGTGTTGTTGTTGTTGTAACTTACTTTGAAACTGGGGTTCTTTTTCCACTGACCAATGGCCCAAGGGAAATCAGGTCAGTTTGACAAGTGTGATATGAGGCTGGTAGCATTTATAGGCTACAGACTAAACCTTAAGATTGGATTGCCTGTCTACAGAGTGTGCATGTAGCGTCGGAGGTGTTGAACATAACCTTCAATATACAGGCTTAGGTCAAGGTTTTTTGCTACAAAATGGATTAAGCTTTAAAGAAAAGAAAGATTTTCCTATGTATGTGTGTTTTCCTTGTATCTGTTCTCTAAAATACAGCAGTTGAACTGATATGGATATTTACTTTTAAGTGTGTATGATGCCGGCTTGAAGAAAGGAGGATGTATTTGGGGATTAGATCAGTGGAGCTTAATCTTTCCAGGAGGAGGACAGAGCTAGTGCGTTTCAGTCTCCTATGGTGGGTGATTTTTCCCTACAACTCAAACCAAGACCAGAGCCAGCATTGCAAACCAATCCCAGGGTCTCTGGCACTGCCTGTGCTGGAGAAAAAGGGGGACATCATGTTGGGGGGACTCTTCTCCCTTCATGACATGGTGATGGAGCACAGTCTGTCCTTCACCTCTTCACCTCCCTCGGAACAGTGCACCAGGTGAGCTGCTCTTTAGCTTGTCTTGATTCATCTGCAACTTTTCTCATAATTGAATTGCTTCCAATATAATGGTGTCAGTTTTGTCTTTTTTTATAAGGGCTTCACACAAAAAATGATGATGATTTTAACATCACTGCTCTCTCAGATTTAACTTGCGGACTTTCCGTTGGATGCAAACTATGGTCTTTGCCGTAGAGGAGATCAACCGAGATGACAAACTCCTTCCCAACATCACACTGGGCTACAGGATTTATGATTCATGCAGCACACCCCATCAGGCACTGAAGGCTGCTATGGAGTTAGTGGGGCATGAGAGGAGTTCAGGCGTCAAGGGAGAGACACAGAGGGAAGGCGGCTGTCGGGGCACGGTCCCGGCGGTGATAGGAGACGGAGGCTCTACTCAGTCTCTCGTCGTGGCCCGCTTGCTGGGAGTGTTCCACGTGCCGCAGGTAAGACAGTCACAAAGACTGGAGAGGGCCAATAGTCTCACGCTCATAGTGGCTTTAACCTGTGGATCCTCGATAAGTCCTGATGTTATGATGTTTGACATTCAGGTTAGTTACTTCTCCAGCTGTGCCTGCCTGAGTGACAAAAAGGACTTTCCTGCTTTTTTAAGGACTATGCCCAGTGACTTCTTTCAGGTTAGAGGCAGCAGCCATCCAGAATATTACTTCTACACAAGCAATATTCATCTGTGGAATTATTTCAACCCCCCCTCCCCCCTCACCCCTCCTCTTCCCCCTCTCTCCTTGCGTCTCTCACCTTTGTCCTATTTCTATCTGTAGGTAGATGCATTAGTACAACTCGTCAAGCATTTTGGCTGGACTTGGGTGGGTGTCATAGCAGGGGATGATGCTTATGGCCTTGGTGGGGCAAACATATTTGTCAATAAGGTGAGTCACGCACCCATAAATAAAGAATTTAACAAAAATAGTTTGGCATTAAGTAATTTGTATTGTACAACACATTGTGATAATACAATTAAGTTGTTCTCCATCCCTCTTGTTGCCCTTAGGTGGGAAAATTGGGTGTTTGTGTTGCCCTTCACGAGGTTATCCCTAAGAACCGAGCACAGACCACAATTTCATCAATTGTTTCCAAGATCCGCTCCTCTGGGGCTCGAGTGATTCTGGTGTTTGCTGTGCAACAAGATGCAGCCGCATTGTTTGGCGAAGCACTCAGGCATGAATTGTTCAGAATCTTCTACACCACTTTACTATTTAAAATGCAATACAAATTTGATATTGACTTTTGGTTTGTTGTCTTTTTACGGATACAGATTTACTGAGTTACAAGTTCAGATACATTTATAATGTCAAAGAATGACCTCTCCATATCATTTTAACTTAGAGCGGGGCTCACTGGGATACAGTGGCTGGCCAGTGAGGCTTGGAGCACAGCTGGCGTACTCTCCACTCCCAGAAAGCAACGCCACATTCTCCAGGGTTCGATGGGATTTGCCATTCGGAGAGCACACATTCCCGGATTGCAAGACTTTCTCCTTCGCCTGCATCCCTCAAGCCGCAATGCCCCTACAGATCCCTTCCTGATACCCTTCTGGGAAGAAGTGTTTCAATGCAGCCTGGCAGCGCGGGCTGAAGGTCAGGAACAGACAATTGAGGGTAAACCTCCATGCTCTGGAACAGAAGAGCTGAGGAGTGTGAGGAATATCTATTCAGATGTGTCACAACTAAGGATTTCCTACAATGTCTATAAGGCGGTGTATGCCTTTGTTCATGCGCTTAAGGCAATGAGATTCTGCGTGAAAGGAAACGGACCATTTCCTCTGCAGGCCTGTGCAGATCCAGATCACATAGAGCCGTGGCAGGTACGATACTAAATGTTCACTAATTCACTCCAGTCAACACAAAAGTAAGCGATGCTCAAATATTATTTTTATATATTGCTGAACAAGATTGAATGTACTTTATTCCATAAGTTGCTTCATTACATCAAATCTGTGAAATACTTGAACTCCTTTGGCGATGAAACCAAGTTTGATGAGAACGGTGACCCTGCGGCCATGTATGACCTGGTGAACTGGCAGCTGAGACAAGATGGAGAAATGGAGTTTGTTACTATCGGCAAATTTGACGAGATGACCGCAGGTGGAAAGCAAGAACTTCAGATCCAGGAACACATGATTGTATGGAATGGCAACCAAACCGAAGTACGGATCTCAATAGAACAAAATAATGTAATTATTATTATTTCCATTGCATCTCGTGTCTTTTTGTTATTTAACTGTGTACTGTCCTTTGTCTAGATTCCCTTGTCAGTATGCAGCAGCATTTGTCCCCCAGGTACCCGTCAGGCAATCAGACCAAACTTCCCTATTTGCTGCTATGATTGTGTTGTTTGCACAGCTGGCTGGATAAGCAATCAGACTGGTAAGCAAAGCCACTTGTCTACATTGTGTCTGAAAATCGAACCTATGGTTGCAGTGGTAGAGCCACAATACAACATCTAAAGTCTTCTTTTCTGTCCTCCAGATGCTATAGAATGTGTGGAGTGCCTCCCAGAGTTCTGGTCCAATGTTGAGAGGACAGCCTGTATTCCCAAACAAGTAGAGTTCCTCTCCTATAACAGCACAATAGGCATCACCCTGATGGCTATTTCCATCACTGGCTCCCTCTGCACTTGTGCTGTGGCCTTCGTATTCTCTTTTCACAGAGTCACTCCTATCGTCAGGGCCAACAACTCTGAGCTGAGCTTCCTGCTGCTCTTCTCCTTGACTCTGTGTTTCCTGTGTTCTCTGTCATTCATTGGCCAGCCCTCGGAGTGGTCCTGCATGCTGCGCCACACAGCATTTGGAATTACCTCTGTGCTCTGTATATCTTGTATCCTGGGGAAAACTATAGTGGTGCTGATGGCCTTCAAGGCCACACTTCCAAACAGTAATTTAATCAAATGGTTTGGGCCTGCAAAACAAAAGGCAATCATTGCCTTTTGTACACTGATCCAGGTAAGGATTTCTGACTCATAATGAATCTCGGCCAGCGCTTTTTCCTAAACATCGGTGTAAGACACGTCTCTGTTTTTTGCAGGTAATAATCTGCACAGTGTGGCTGGTTGTTGCTCCCCCCACTCCACGCCAAGTAATGGCCCACAAGAGCGCTGTCGTCATTTTCTTGTGTGACAAAGGTTCACCTATAGCCTTCTCTCTAGTCCTGGGTTACATTGGCCTGCTGGCCTGCATCTGCCTGGTATTGGCCTTCCTGGCAAGGAAACTACCGGACAATTTCAACGAGGCCAGACTCATCACTTTCAGCATGCTCATTTTTTGTGCAGTGTGGATAGCTTTTGTTCCTGCTTACATCAGCTCACCCGGAAAGTACTCCACAGTCACGGAGGTGTTTGCTATCTTGGCCTCCAGTTACGGACTGCTGGGTTGCATCTTTGCCCCAAAGTGCTACATGATCCTGATGAAGCCAGAAAAGAACACATGGAAACACCTGATGTCGAAAGCTGCCGCCGGAAAATTCTAGGAGAACATCTTTATTCCATACAATATATATACAGTATAAAGAGTCAAAGTTTTAGCATCTAGTCCTTGAATAGTGACAGTTAGGTTTCACCACTAGAGGACAGTAGTGTGTTGTTAAAAGTCCCTTCTGCTGTTGTTTAACCTGACCAATCACTTCCCCAAATGTCTTTGTACATTTTGCCATATAACATTTTAGTTACTATTATCTAATAATGATTACCACTAGTTAAAGATCTTTCTTAACCATATGAATACATTTTGTCGGTGGTGTGAAAATAACAAACTGTTTAGTCACAGAAACAATATGAAAGACAAAAGAGCATTGGCATAATATGGTGTTATCTTATGAAAAGGCCTGTAGTCTTTAACTGCCCGTAATTCAAGACCGAGTTTTTATTTTTCCAACTACATAAAAATGTCATGGACAGCTCGTTGTGAATGTAAATAGGATTCGACAGCATTGTCCATACGGATTTGACCTGAGATGGAATGATGAGGCCTTTGTGTCTGAGGTATGCTGTGTGGAAATCCCAGCCATCAGTGGTTAATTTGAACCCTCATACTTCGGAGGCCTTTACATATAAACACCACGCTTGGCTGCTCCCTGCAAAAACAAACTAAAACGTCAGACATTTTTCCGTCTCTCTACATCTGCTTCCAAGCTTACCTTGATTATCCACCACTAATTGATCGGTATTATTCTATTTTCATTTACTTCCTATTGTTACTCTTCTTAACCTTCACATTATTTCGTTCTTTATATTGTATCATTCATGTCAATGTGAGACAGTGGAGCTTCCTTATTGCTTTATTACAGCATGTGGATGCTGGTGTTGTGTTTCCTTGGGAGCCTTTAGGGGAATCATTGTGGCAAAGTGGGGTTCTGGAGGTATTCAAAGTAGCAAAGCTGGGCTTTCAGAACACAACAGCAGAGGAGTGGCTGGATTTGTTTCATTCGTGTTCGTCCTATTGTCTGGCGGGCTAGTTATAAATAGACAGACCAGATATAATTTTATACGCAGACATGTCAAACTCAAGTTGACCCTAATGCCATAGACTGACTGCAACAACCAGCAGTAAATAAAACTACATAGAAATAACCTCAATTCAACTGAGGCTGTTTCATAACTAAATCATAGAAACATTTAACATTTAGAAATAGACTGTGGTCTCTGAGTTTCTAAGTAATCAAGCTTGGGACCTGCTCAGTTTTGCACTTTTCCTCCTTACCTCATTTCTGCCTTATCCTTACCTCATTTGTATTTTTATTTCATGTCCATTTATGTATGTAAATATTGTATTTTTATTTTTATTTTAAAATTGGTCAGCTTTCCAGAAAAGGTAAGGACAAGAATTTCAATACACAGGGCGTGTGTAACTGACAATAAAAAATCTTTGAATCTTTGAAAATACTACAACACAAGCATGCAAAATGAGTGAGTGTAACAAATGCTTAATTACAGTCCTTCCTCCACCACGTCCCCCTAACACAGTTCTGCACAATTCTCTACTGTTTTCATTTTTCATTTGTATTTCTACAATCCGATGGTTCTAGAATGAATATTTTATGATGTGCAAATCCTCAATAATGCTTTTCCCTGTGGTACCACAGGCATCAGCAGCTCTGTATTTTTCTTTTGTTTCCTTTCATGTTTCTACCGTGTTTTGCACAAACAAAACACGCTGTTAGATTACTTATTTTCTCCTTATCTCCGTGGTGTGTCCTCCCAGTAAAAAGTGCAAGCTGCAGAAAGTGAAGAAGTAACTGTCTGCTTTCGGAAGCGGGTTCTGAGGAGCTGCAGGTCAAGGCCTCAGCTTTAGGCGGTAAAACCAGCGGCTTCCCTCTGCAGAGTCCAAGATGTTGTCTTTATGAGAGGGGCCGCTTTTGACAAAACCCACTATCGGCTAACAGAAGAATGCATTCTGTGTCAGTCCGATTGACTTCATGTGGCTCCCCAGGTACTGCACAGGCGCGCCCTGTGCTGGAAGCAGGAGCGGAGCCTCTTCCTCACAGCTGTGGAGAACACCTGGATCTACCCACGTCGGCGGGAAGCAGCGCAAAGGTACTTGCAGGAACTTCTCAGGGTGCCTCAGTGTGCAAGGACGAGCTCTCAAACTGCCCGAGCGACAGCCGTCGCTGCCTCAAGCAACGCTTCCTGTTCAAGTGTCAGCTGGACGTGATGCTCACGGAGAGCGATGTGTTGATTGAGACGCACCGGGCCGAAGGTCAGAGTAAAGACCTAATAAACAGTTACACACTGTACGTACCTAAAGAACACGTTTTTAAGAGCCTGTTGCAAAGCCCTGAATCCTCACAAATTTTACCTTCAGTTTCATTATTTATTTGTAATATATCGGTTACAATGGTAATAATAACAAATTAATATTGGCTTCTTACTTAAACTGTAAGTCAGCTCCCTCAGTTGCTGAACCCTTCCGCCTTCACCACGATGAAGATGATTTTTGTGTGTGTGTGGGGGGGGGGGGATCTGAAAAACAACTTAACTCGAATTAGGACCAGACTAGTTACCATTGTTTTCTCACATTGCAATTAACTACCAAATGAATGTTATAGTTCTGGCAAAAAACGGAAGTTACATTGGGACTTGTTGTAAGCTAAGTGGAGTACGAGGAAGTAAGGACTCATGTGATGCTGTGGCGGGCCGTGCATTTTCAACCTGGGCCTTCTGTTCACTTTGACAAGTGAGTCATGGCTACATGAAGCGCAACAGAAACAAACCGTCTCTCCAAACGTTTTTGAGAGCACGTGGCTTGCAAGTGTCCTGCTGTCCTTCGATGATGTCATTTAGCGACGCCTAGAGACTTTTCAGACAGCTAATAGCAGCTTTCCTTGCTGAGTAGTTGGCAACCTGACTAATCAGCAGATAGCAGTAACCCGTCGTTTTGAATGCGTCTGCCCTTTTGCTGTGGAAAGCCTGATTTGTAATTTGTTCAATCGATCCAGTAATTGCTTAAAAAACAGCGATGCTTGTTGCCACACGCAGCAGCGCTCTCTGCTCGCTTTGTGAAGCGGGGGAATCTGCAGAGGAGAGGCAGGTATACAGTGGGCTGGTGTCTGAGTATTTGGTCTTTATGTTTCTAGTTTATTGTAGAAAGACCCTAAAAGAGGGTTTATCATCAAAAAACCTTCACCAAGGACTTAAACATAGAGAAATATGCGTTATTATGCTACGACTTTACTGGTCTGGCCCACTTGAGAAATTAGTTTGACACTGCTTCTTTAAACTTTATTTTTGTGCAGCCTTTGTGGTTTGATGTGTTTTGGAAAAAGTAAAAAGTGTTATATATTCAGTTTTGACAAACGAGTTGGTGGAGTTGTTCAGCAACTATTCCCTTAGGTGCCTTTTAGTACAGGCTTTTGACCCTCCTCTTGACTTCTACTTAACAACCATAGTCCAATTTCATCCTCCCACCTAATGAAGGGTTCACAACTAACACCAGCAATTCAGGAGGAAAATCACAAAGCAGCAAATAACCCTCCTTGTCCGTCCCTCTGACAAGCGGCACTTTTGTGAGTTTTCAAGGTAAACTAGCAAAGGAACACAGATGTGATATATCTGGCCTGGGTTGGTAATGCATTGGTTATAACCACACAAAAACAATGTATTCATTATTACAAGAGGAACGTCTCCAAATTTTGATGAATATAAATAAAGATAAAGGTTTTCATAACATGAGACAAAATACAAATGACTAGATATTGACTTGATTGAATGCCTTCAAAGTCCCCCGACAAAGAGTTTTAAAAGTTCGCCACTGATTAATTTTTTGATACAAACAGTCAAGTACAGACGTTGGTGATGAGTTTACAAATCAGTGAATTGACCTCTTTTCATGATGAAGGACTCTCTTTCACTATTATCTTGGCATTTTTCCTTCTTGAAAACCATCCTGTTAAGGTAGATTTTTCGCCAACATTCTTTAACCTATGTAGTGAAAACCGGTATCACAGACAAGTTGGACACCATAGAAACTGCAGCATAAACTAATCCCACAACTCTCTCCCACAATGGCACCATTCACTGTGGCCCATGTGGCTGTCTACATTAAATAGCACAGCAAATAATGTGAAAATCTTAAAATCATCATGAAATTGATACAACGTTCAACTCTTGAATGCATGTACACTCAAAAATAGGAATATTTACCAACCTGTGATTGGAAATAGCAGTGTGGTGACTTTATATGCAACGACCTTTCCTGTGTGCTTAGCTAAATAAAGATAAATGACAGGGGTGTCAGTTTTTGAAACAATTCTACAGATTTTTACATTTTATGTTAAGTTAACTGCTTTCAACCCTCAACATTCAGCATGGGGTTGGACATTTCGTTTTTGAATGTTGATCTTAATTATTCAGGAGGCTGTAACATCATCACACAATTATGATCTCAGCATGAATAAACTACAATTTTATCTCCAACATGTATCATGACATCCTCCTAACCAAAGGTGTGTCAGTAGTAAATGGAAGTGGCAAACTACGGCAGCTGTCAAAGCTGACCCAGAACATTAGACAATGGAGAGAATGATTCACATGGAGCAATAGCGACAAAGGACATTTTTTTTTATCAGAGGTGAGCCCTCTGTGGTCCCCAGAGTGGAGCAAATGGGATGGACCAACAGGTTGGTTAGTTCAAACACGCTCTTTTAGCCGAGGTCAAGGCAAGGTACTTTTCGTTTAAGCTGCGGCTGGAGCCAAACACGTCGCAATGCAGAGGTCCTCACTAGTGGCAGTGGACTGGACATTGTGCAGAACCGCAGCAAGTACCTCACCGATAAAACCAAATAGACTTGTCCTATTATCACTCAAACAAACACAGACAACAATATGCTATTTAATAGATTGAATAAGGTCAATAAGAAACAAAAGATAGCTTGGCAGGCTCTTGTGGGGTGCGGACGACTGGATGGTGCCACTACAACCCACCACCCACAAAAAGACCGAGACGGTAGAGGACGATGGAGAGAGCTTTTTGCATTGGAAGTAAAACAAACAGAAAAACTGTGCAGAGGCATTTCCTCCCTGTGTCAAACAAGTGTATTCAAATAAATTCATTTTATTTTGTATAGCCTAAAATTTGCAAATTTGCAGTCTGTACACATGCGACATGCTCTGCCCCGAAACCCTCACATCGGCACAGGAAAAACACCCCCAAAAAAAACTTCAGAGGAGGGATCTCGCTAACCCAGGGGTGTCAAACTCATTTTGGGCCAGATACTTCCCACTTTGATCTCAACTGGACCAGACCATTAAAAATCATAGGGGGGACCAGGGGCGGGCGCTGCTGTCTGGAGTAACGTCCCCACACCTTTTCAGCTCCCCAGCTTTTTCACTTAACTTTTCAATCCCCCAATAATAATACGGAACAATATCGCTGCATACCTGGAGCCTCTCTCACTGGCAGGTGATCTACCGGCAGTGCGTTAGTGAACGACCGTGTCCCCCTGGTCTAACGCATGCGCTCACTCACAGAGCCCAACCCCCAGTGGACTTTTAAGGAATAGCAGCTGGTTTTATAGAAATGCAATTTATGTATTTTTGTAATTCTCACAATAGTAAATTCATCCGCAGGAACAACCAGAGAGCCGGCGCTTCACTGCGCGGACATCCTCCGACTGGAGACAATTTGAATATGGCAAATTGTTCCCAGAATGAAGAGGATTACTTGAAAAGGGAAGTTAGTAACCTCAATG